CTCGGAGAAAAGGTGGCGGAACTCAAACCTGGCCACGCCCTCATCAAACCCTAGGACCGCCCCTTTAGAGAACAGGAATGCAAGTAAAATTTGGGAGGGGCTATTTCCGGTGTGGGAGGGGCTATTTCCGGTGCGGCCGGCCCGGAAAAAGGTGCCGGAACGCGGTTCCGCTGCGTTCCGGCTGAAAAAAAGCCCTGATAGTGGTTATGGCTCCAGGCTAGAAACGGACATCAGGAGTTCTAGTCCTACCTTAGGCACAAAGCTAGCTAATGCTTTGGGCCAGTCATTCTCTCATGGAGGGAAGGAGGGAATGGCAAACCACTTCCAAAATCTTACCAAGAAAAGTGCAGGGACTTACTAGGCCAGGGGTGTCAAACTCAATTTCATTGAGGGCTGCATCAGCATTGCGGTTGCCCTCGGGGGGGACTGGGTGGGTGTGGCCAGGGTGAGTGCGGCCTACTGGGTGGGCGTGGATGGAGTGGGTATGGCCTACTGGGTGGCATGGCCAGCTCTACATCGTTCACGTCAGGGGTGCCTGTGGGGGCCTGGGCAGGAGTGGGACAGATCTGAGGGTCTCTGGCAGAAACGGGTGGGACTGGGGCAAGTGCCAAGGCATGGTCCATTTCTTCATTCCTCACAAAGGCTGACACTTCCCCAGCATGCACCCAGAGGGCGGGGCCGACACGGCAGGGGCTGGTTCCTCGCTGTTTCTCGATGGCCTTGTGGAGCTAAGACTGAATGCGTTTCAGCGTAGATGACCACCACAAAATTATACATTGGCTCCCGGCCAGCCTGGGCCAGACCAAGGCAGCGGGGGCCGTTCCCTCACTGTTTCCAGGATGGCTTCGCGGGCCACATGAAACCACTTTGCGGGCCGCATCCGGCCCCCGGGCCTTGTGTTTGACGTGTCTATACTAAGCAGTCACCAAGAGTCAAGACTGACTTGAAGGCACCCATCCACCCACCCACCCAGCACACACGTACACACTGCTCACAAAGGTAAAGCTGTCAGACATGGACGCTGAAACTAGTTGATCACTACAGGTAGATAGCAGAAAAAAGCTGCGGAGAACTTTCTGCTGCCATCTATAGGTTCCATGATATTTTGTAGCCCAAGTGGGGAATCAAAAGTACGATTATATGCATACAGGTAGTCCTTGCTTAATGGCCCTAATTGAAGTTCCATCATTAATTATACCAGTCATTAAGCAAAACATCACATGATTGTCCCACACATGGCTTCTCCATTTTGGCTTTCTTTTTGTAAAATAAATGATGATGTGGTGTAATGCGTCGTGTGCTGTTGTTCATCTGAGGCTGTATTTATCTACTTTTAAGAACTGCTAAGGACCAGATGATTTTTACTATGTCCTGATACATAAAACCATAGAATTCAAATAGGGTGTACTTTCATTTTCATATGACTGTATTTTGCTTTGGAAAGGAAAAGGACAATAAGTGCTTTTATTCTTTTTATAAAAATTAAAAAATAATTTTTATTTGTCAACTTTTTAGCTGCCACAAGTCATATGATCAGAAAAGAGCTACGCTCTACAATAAAACTAAATTAACATCTACAGTATACAGTAATCATGGCTGGAAAATATTACAGTTAATAATTCTACATTGTGGCACTGGCCTCTCGTTGGATGTCTCTGTTAGTTCCAGTTCCCGTAGAACTTCTGAGCCCTCGATCACCTGTCTAAAGTAATAATTGAAAAAGAAACCCAAGTAAATCCTTGGAGTTTATGTCAGTTGGATTTTTTTTCAATTGGTATTAAGCCATTGCTTAGAGTACTCTTTGTTACTTATTTATTTATTTGATATCTATGGCTATCCATCTTAAAATAGAACTTTGGGTTGCTCTTAGCAGGAATAAAACTATAAATCATATAATCAGGAAAGCAAAATTAAAATGAATTAAAAAACCTGGCACCTCAGCCATCTTCTAGGATTCCCCAATAGTCACCCACCAGCTCTTATTGATCTACCCCAGTGCCTGAGAAAACAGCCAGGTCTTGAAGCCCTTCCAGGAGGCTAAAAATATGGTTGCCTGCCGGACTGTTGGGAGGATGGTATTCTACAAGATAGAATAATGCAGCTACCTCACTTCAGTGAATCTTCCCACTAATATTGCTTTGCGTTCCATGATAGAAGAAAGGCAGGAGAGAAACATCAAAAAAAGAAAATATTGTTCCCATGTTTCAGTTACAACATTTATACTTGGGATACCCAGAGTGACTTCTTACACATACCCAAAAGCCACATATTTGGTATTCAGATATGGTGCAGGTTGTAATGTGATGTAGAACTGGGATCCGTTGGTGTGGCGTCCTTTGTTGACCATTCCAAGAACTCCTCTCTTATCATGGGGAACTGCAAAATTTTCATCTAAAATAGTATAGTAAGCAGTATATAGGTGTGCATGTGTGGATATACCTACATATAAATATACAAATATCAAGGCTGATTGAACTGTCTTTATCCCCAGTG